ACAGAACCCTCTTGGTCTCTACATCACCACCTTCCAAAGGGTGCAGAATCTGTACAATGCAATCAGCACTAACAGGATTTAAAGCAAATCACATACCGACAGGTTCCACAGATTCCACATGATCCACAAAGTCTCGCTTTCCCAGGTAGATGGATAACTGGATAGACAAGAGAGAGAGAGAAAAGCTGGTTTTCCACCTTGGCTTACAGATATCTTTCCCCCAATAATCTTTTTGGCCACTTCCATATAATACAACTTGGGACTCCAAAAGCCCTCCTTGATGGGACCTCATCACTCTGAACCAGGGGTCTCCAACCTTGGCAACTTGAAGCCTGGCGGACTTCAACTCCCAGAATTCCCCAGCCAGCAAAGCTGAAGAGCCAGGCTTCAAGTCGCCAAGGTTGGAGACCCCTAGTCTGGACTAAGATATTAAGTGATTCTAATTTGCAGATAATGCAAAATTATGTAGAAAACAAATTCAAAATGGTGTTTGGAAGAGTAGAGAATGGGCTGAGAAGTACAAAATAGAGTGTAAGATGAAAACAGATGAAATGTTTTGCCTTTTATTGATTTACTTTTTCCTAAGAAATAAATCAAACACACAGTACACTATGTGATAAGACAATAGGGATATTTCTGTGAACACACTGGCACACATTAAAAAATGAAATTCTGCCAGCCTTTCAGGGCCAGGACAGCTCAAGCAAAGGGGGAAAAATGGCCCAGGGAAGAACAGCCGGTGTCCAACGCAGAGGCCTCCTGTGACACTGTATTTCTGGTGCAATTTAAGCTGCTTGGGAGCCCCCGCTAACCTGAATCCCATTGGAAAAAAGATCTGTAGCTGAGAAGATTAATGGATTGGACAAAGATCGGTCTGGGCTTTTCTTGGCTGGCTGCTCTAATCCAGAAAATGGGGCTCAACCTTCTTTTGTATAACAGGCAGTCCTCGAGTCACAAGCTAATCCAAAATTTACGTTGGTGCGCGAAACATTTCTTAAGTGGGTTTGACCCATTTTACGACTTTTCTTGCCATAGTTGTTAAGTGAATCATTGCCTTTGTTAAGTTAGTAACCTGGTTGTTAAGTGAATCTGGATTCCCCACTGACTTTGCTTGTCAGAAGAGTACAAAAGGGAACCACGTGACCCAGGGACTCTGCGACAGTCATAACTATGAGCCAGTGGCCAAGCATCTGAATTTTGATCAGGTGATCTTAGGGATACTGCAAAGGCCGTAATTGTGAAAAACAGTCATAAGTCACATTTTTCACTGCCATTGTAACTTTGAATGGTCACTAAATGAAATGTAAGTCAAGGACTACCTGTATACAGAGATTATCACCTCAGGGCCAATCCCTGCAAGTGCCTGGATGTGTCAGAAGCAGAGGTAGTGAATTCAGCAGGCTCTGACCAGTTCTGGAGAACCGGTAGCAGAAAATTTGAGTAGTTCGGAGAACCAGCCAACACCATCTCTGACTGGAGATTTTACAGTCTCCTTCCCCTGCCACACCCACCAAGCCACGCCCACAGAACCGGTAGCAAAAAAAATTGAATCCCGCCACTGGTCAGACGAATCAACCCAACTGAACTGTCACATCCGTTGCTGGGCACTTACAACTCAGCCTTGGGTTTGGGATCAGGTTCCATTTCCCTTGAATGACCATCTCTGCCCAGCAGTGCCAATGCCAGGTTGGCACTGCAGTTCCCCTGACTGATCCTATCCCCTCTCCCTCATCTTACTTTAAGACCCTGACTGAACGCCAAGTAGCCAGAAATCCTCAGGCATGGGTGGGGCCAATTTAGCCTCTTTGTGATGTGTTTGTAGCAAACCCCAACCTTACCTTCTCATTGGGACAAGTCTTCTTATATACTCTGCCAAAAAAAGAGAGAGAGGGGGGGGAGACAAATGGGGGAGGGCAAGGAGGGAGGAAGAAGAAATTTCAGAGGCTGGGCAACATATTACATACCCTAATGCTCAAGGGGGTTAATCTTAAGCACAAAATAGTTTGAACTTTTAAATGCATTCGTTAAAAGGAATGAGGCATCCCTGAACAGCTACAGAGAAGATCAATAATACGAATAGTGACTACAGGCAGGAAGCTCTCCAACGTCTAACAGCAGATTCCAAAAGCCACTTTGCTCCTCCTGGATTTTTCCAGAGTCTCAAAGATCACAGCTTTAAATCTGAACTTTGGTATCAATATCACTTTAGATCCTTTCCCCAGATTCAGGACCTTCCATTTTAAAATGCTCCTCCTCCCATTAAATAAAAAAGGGTCTCTAGAAGAAGAAAGGCTGTGAGGTCACCCGTGATCACTCCTTGCACAGACCCTGGGCTCCATCGGGGAGATGCAGCTCAGGAGGAACCCTCTTGATTCTCAGGGTGGATCTCTCTGGGGAGGGGAGGGGCTGCGAAGCAGTCACAGCTTTGGGATTGCTTATCAGTATGGAAATAACCCATATCTTCCTGGGAGCTTACACCTCCAGCCTTAATTTTCTGCTCCCCAATGTTCACAAACTGTTTTTTTTTAAAGGATTATAATTAAAATATTTATTATTTATAAAACATATCAGCTACTTTTCCTGTAACATTCCAAATGCATCCATTCCAATGGTTCAAATAGAAGAGAATATCTGAACTGTGGAGTCCTTGGTTCTCTCTTGAGCTTTGTTAGCATATTTTTCATGACCCGGCTCAGTGATGGCTGGTTTGCCTGAATGCCAACATAAAGCGCATATATAACAGCCATATGCCGTATAGGGCAGAAGACTTGCAGAGTGCATCCACGAACACCAGCTAGACGTCAGCGGACACCATAAAAACTCACCCCTTAGTCTCACATCACGTGGATAGGCTCAACCACAGTTTCAGCTGGGAAACTTTGAGCATCTTAGACCAAGCCCTAAGTCTAACCCTAACCCTAACCGTAACACCTAACCCTGGCAAAGAATGCTGAGGGATTTTTGGCATTCAGACAAATCAGCCATGAATAGATACGTACAGATAAACCATACCATTCACAGTTAAAAAGCTAAAAAGGAAATAAAAATACCAGAACACATCCTCTCCAGCAACTGGCACCCAGATAAGCAGGGATTAATACCAGACAATCACACAGAAAACAATACCCTAATCAAGCAACTAACAAGGAGAAAACCACACCCCCTTAACCCTTGCTGGGCATAGAGAACAAGGAGCAAACCTCCCACTCAATCAAGTTCAGACACTACCGAGGACTCCACCATTCTAATTGTTGCTGAAATTGTTAAGAGTTGAACAAAATCACTGAAAATTGTGCTGTAGTGGAAACCTGGAAACAAATTATGAAATGAAGCTGAGCGGGTGGAGAGAAAGGGGTGTCATCTTCCTGTACTACGGAACGTGAGCAGGGAGACCTGGAGAATATCCGTTTAGCAGCCAGTCTTGCTGGGGCTCTGGAGGCTCCAGCTGCCTGGAGCACAAGGAAAAGGGGGCTCGTGTTGGAGAATCAAGCTGAAGGTTCCTAGGGGTGCCTTGCGCTGGGCCTGGGCGAGGCAGTGAAGCGAGGCACATCCTTCTCACAAGACCACAGGGAAGATGCGCCAGACCTACTTTGGTCCATCAGCCATCTTTGGGGATCGGAAGCAGAACTCCTGCAAGAGATGAGAAAACCAAGCGGTAAGCCAGCAGTGCAGAGGTGGGCGCCCATCCCCTCCAAACAGCCCTCCCCACGAAGGCCCGACACATCCGAAGGAGGTTTCTGGGGGAAGCTTCTCCCACAGGGGCTCCCTGGGGTTCCTGCTCTGGCTAGAAAGAGCTGGAGATGTTTTTGAGCCAAACACACTCACAAGGCCATACACTTCCCCCTCGTTTCTAGAAGAATCTTTGAGCAGGCAACGGGGCATCTGTATGGCAGATTTTTCACGGAGATGGCAAGGGCAATGGCCCGGGGGTCTGCAGCACTAGAAGAGGCTGGCCAACCCCTTTGGCTTCTTGCCCGGTCATGTCCACACAGTTAACAATACGTTGGTATCACTAGCATTGTCAAACTGGATCCCCCCTCCCCCATTAAATATGTCTAAATGGGATTCAAAACTGTTCCAGTTGTGAGACCCAGTTGGGAATTTAGGAACAGAGATCAACTATTTAAAGTTGGGGATGTTGAGAAGAACTGCAGGAGTTCTTCTATCGTGGTTTATACTGGCATCCATTTGCTCCTCCAGAAGACCTGAAGTCCTGCGGGTGAGGCCACCATGTTGTGCCGCAGCTGCCATTCCTTCAGGAGGGACCGTTAAACCAACATGGCTGGCTTCCAAGAAAATGTTCTCAGCTCGCTCCTCACCATAACCTCCTATCTAATATATTTTTAGTTTCCTAATCTTATTTCTTAGTGCTAAGCTATACACATCATTCAGTTTTAATTAGCTGGTTTTCAGCAAGTTTAGCAGGGATTGGCCCCGTGACTTAAGTTGAAGATCTCTTAACTCAAACCAAGCGAGATTAGCTGGGAAGGATCTTTCTTTCTTTTCTTTTCTTTTAATAAGAATTTTTAATTAAAAACAAACAAACATACACATACAAAACATAAAAACATAAAACCATCTTCCATTTTATATACATACAGTGTGTCAGTTGGTTACAAATCTTTTGTGCTATCCTTTTGTAGTCATTTACTCACAGGGGAGAGGGATCTTTCCGTACCACTGGAATCAACACACCCAGTGAGGAGAACAAGGGGACCTGCTAGTTTGAATGCCATTTACTAATGGAGAAACAGGTGGGAATTTGAAATCATGGAGGAAATAAGGAGCAAATCTTACAACTTTTATTTAAAAAAAACATTTAGTGGGAGCATTTCCATAGAATACTAAACGATCCAAAGTGCCCTGTTTGGTTACTTGGTTGCTTTCCTGGCGCTTTCTGCCAGCAGATTTAATGAACAAGCCCAGATGGCTCCACTCCCTTATGGGCCAACCAGGGAATCGGGCTGACCCCCTCTGACCCCACCGGAAGGAAAGCAAGGAAGGAGGAAGCACTTCATGATTCAATTAAGCCCTTTGAAGCTCTTACTTCAAAGGACAGACTGCCGCTTCCGGCTAACAAAACTCCAGATGTCTAAAGGGCAACAATACAGAAACCCTCTTCTGCCATCTAATGGCTGTCCTGATTTTCGCAGCCCACGTCTGGTAGCCCTGCTGAGAGGACTCGAGTGGAAGCCCTCCAGTGCAGGAGTCTCCAACCTTGGCAACTTTAAGACTTGTGGACTTCAACTCCCAGAGTTCCTCAGCCAGCTATGCCTGCTGGAGAATTCTGGGAGTTGAAGTTCACAAGTCTTAAAGCTGCCAAGTTTGGAGACCTCTGATCCTAACCTCACTGGTTTGCTGTGAAGTCTGTTTGATTAACCAAAAGTCTGACTGGAAGTTCTGACTCTCAAGAGCTTCTTCCTCAGATCCAAACTCTACATCCTTCACCCCTTAGTTTTAGTCTAGCCCTGTGGAACAATGAGAATCAGACTGAATCCTCTTCAATACGACAGCTTTTCAACACAGCCATGGTGCCCCCTCTTAGCCTTCTAATTCTAATTCTAATTCACTTCCACAAGCTGAATATATCTGGGTCCCTTCACCATTCCTCACCGGACTTGGTTTCCAGGCCTTTCTCCATCTTGGTAGCCCTTCTCTGGATATGATCCGGATGATCAATGTCTTTTTTTTTTTAAGCTGAAGTATTTAATTTTAAAGCTCCTACTTTTTGTTGTTTTTGTTGTTGTTGTTGTTGTTTTTTGGGGTGGGTGGGTTTGTCTATAATTTTTTTAATTATTCTAAAGGGGGTTTGGGGGGTTTGGTGAAAGCAAAACACTCTTTGGGGGGGGGCAATCTTAAAACCTGTGCTGGAACTTCCAGTAGGAAGTATTAAAGTTAAAAAAATTCAGCCTCGTAAGGATTTATATTTTGACACCAGCTATCTATTGGGATACTTTTGGTCCAGATTTTCACTTCTTGCTTTAATTTTATTAAATTTTAATCAACAATTTTTTTTCTTAAAGTTTTTAGCAATAGTGATGCTTAATATTTGAAACATTTATATGCTAGAGAAATTCCTAAATCTATGGAAGCTTCCTTTGGGGAGGAAAAGCATTTAAACTTCTTGCAGATGCATTTTTAAAAAACAAAACTAACATATTGGCTGCCAAATTCATTTATTTATTGTTCAAAGTAAGTTTTTATCAATCATATTTCCACCATAACACCACATTACCACCCACTACAGCCGGTAATACCGGTAACGGTATTCACTCATATTGACATAGTTTCTAATTATATAGGTTACTATACTATGCATTATATATTCCTTCTACATGTAACTTGTAACAGTATATACATACACACACACACACACACATATAAGCTCTGTAAAGTACTCATCTCTAATGACCTAAGTGCTGGAGCCCACTGTAACTACATAGCCAAAAAGGCATTAAGAGTTGTTAACCTAATCCTACGTAGCTTCTTCTCTGGTAATATCACACTACTAACTAGAGCATACAAATCATTTGCTAGACCAATACTTGAATACAGCTCATCAGTCTGGAACGCACATTACGTATCTGATATTAGCACAGTTGAGAAAGTCCAGAAATATTTCACAAGAAGAGTTCTCCACTCCTCTACTCGTTGTAGAATATCTTGAATATCCAGACTTGAAATTCTAGACCTAGAAAACCTAGAACTACGCTGCCTTCGGTCTGATCTAAGTATAGTATATAAAAACATACATTGCAATGTCCTACCTGTCAATGAATACTTCAGCTTCAACCATAACAACACAAGAGCACACAATAGATACAAACTCAAGGTTAACTGCACCAAACTTGATTGCAGGAAATATGACTTCAGCCACAGAGTGGTCAATGTCTGGAATACTCTACCTGACTCTGTGGTTTCTTCCCCAAATCCCAAAAACTTTAATCTTAGACTGTCTACTATTGACCTCACCCCTTTCCTAAGAGGTCTGTAGGGGGCGTGCATAAGCGCACCAACGTGCCTACCGTCCCTGTCCTATTGTTTCTTTTATTTTTATTTTTATGTACCCATTTCATGTATTCATAACAACTATGTATATACTTATACCTATTATCTTGTAAGCGATTGACAAATAAAAATAAATAAAAATTTATACACACACACACACACACACACAGAGTGTTTTCCCATTTTTGGCTGCCAGGTTTATTACAGGGCGCCTGGGGCAGGGAGCTGGCGGAGCCGACGCTAAAGTGGCGCTCGCAACTCCTGAGCGACCCAGCCCGACGGCAGGGACGGTCCTGCAAGGCGCTGCGGACGAGGGTTTCTGGGAAGGCGCTGCAGGGTTGGCTGCCTCTGGCCCCGACCTCCCCCAGCCAGCTCATTCCCCCAAAAGAGCCCCGTCCGTCGGGCGAGCCCTCCCCGAAGGAACCGCCCGTGCTCCGAACAGCCTCCGCATCTGAGAGCCGAACTCCGCGGACAGCTGGCAGAAGCCCGGAAGAAGCCGCCGCCGCCGCCGCCGCCGCCTTACCTGCGAGACGCCGCTCCGCTGCTCCTCGGGCAGCTCCTGCGGGCGCTGCTCTTATACCCCGCGGGCCCGCCCCGCCCAGGCGACCCTTCCAGGCCACAATCCTATTAGCCGCGGCGGTGTCAGGAGGCTCGGCCGGCAGGGGGGCGGCGCGAGTGGGCGCCTGGCCTCTGCCACGGACGCCGGTGGGCGCGGGACAGCAGAGAGGGAAGCAACCTGGAGCCAGCAGAAATTTCCAGACAGTTGGAAGAATTAATCAGGGGAAGAACTTTCCTCCAGATGTTGCGGCTACTCCATCACTGGGGGGGGGGGGGGGGCTTAAGAAGAACTGTCTGAAATGGTATTGGGTCTCCTACCTCAGCAGGGGGTTGGACTAGATGACCTCCAAGGTCTGTTATTCTATTATGAGAAGTTTAAGAGATGTACATTCCCTTCATCCCATTGATTGGAGGCTTCTTTCCAATAAAAATAGCTGGGAACTCAAAAGGGTCCTGGAACATTCTCAATTCCTCCTAAAATTTTAAAAGGACTTTGAAGTGTCTTCTCGGGGCCACAGAGAAATAAAACCAAGGCAGCTCAGCAGGATTGTTTTCCTGTGTTGGATGCCTATTTCTTTCCTCCCTCTGTCCCATCCGTCTCTCTGCTAAACCTTAGATGTGGTAAAGAAACAAAATTAAAAATCTATTTTGATCAAAAAATACTTTGAGAAATATCAATTGGCAGCAGATATAAAACTCCACTGAACAAAGTGCCAAAGATAGGAGCACATCCAAAGAATAAAAGCCAAGAATTTCCCAAAGTTGGGTTTAGAAAAGCCTCACCTCATTGGTTTTCTCTTGATTTACTTTCCAAACTGCCATGTAAAAAGTGCCAATATCACCTTATAAAATGCTAACAATGAAGTCGAAAGTTTGAGCAGCGCCATCATACAGTAGTTTCCATCTCCTCTTTTATGGCCCTCCCCAATACTTCTGCTTTCCCAAATTATGCCTGTGTAACGCAACTTTTTGCCACTGAGTTTTCTGGAGAAAAAGGGATTCCCTTAAAAAGTGAGATTGGCCAATTCCTACCTGCTATGATAGATAGATAGATAGATAGATAGATAGATAGATAGATAGATAGATAGATAGATAGATAGATAGATAGATTTCAAAGGATGGAAGAAACTGACGCTAACTAGGTGAGCATCTGGTGAAGAGGGGTCAGTAAAGCCTGAATCATTTCAAAGTGCTTGTTCCTGTCTCCATGGTAACCTG